GAGCGTCGGCACTCGCCTGCGGCGAGTGTCAGCGCAGCTGACTTAGCTTAATAAGCTAAGCCTTGGCACGGATATGGATATCATTCAGTTTCACGCCATTACGCAACCTCATATAAAACTACTACTAGGATATATTTGCAAAGATACGTCGATTAGCTTTTTTTTGCTCTCGTCCCAAATCACGTGAAACATCCATAGGCTATTTACTTCTGGTACTTCTTGTGCGCATCAATAACTTTTTGTACCTCTCCTTCTGAGCCCAAAAAGATACCAGACCGGTCGTGAATGTGCTCGGGCACAACCTCGAGCATGCGCTTCATGCTGCTGTTTACTGCCAAACCGCCAGCTGAATAATTCGTTAGCATCATGTAAAGAACCAAACCCAAGAGAGACAGAAAGAACGTACCATTTTCAAAAACCATGGCCATAGGAGCGCACTCGTACAGAATACGAAGTTTGCCCTTGGGTGTCTTCTTATCAGCAGGGTAAGCAAAGATGCCTCCGTACAACAGTGTTCGGTACGCATCTGCGACCATGGAACCAATGTAACGCGCACTGTATGGCTTTCCGCCCTCGGGAGGGTTCTTCAAGCTCTCACACCACTCCTTGACAGGCTGTTCCCAGTACATGCTGTTTCCCTCGTTGACCGAGTAGATTGATCGTGTCTTGGGGCACTTCATGTTAGGATGTGTGAGGATGAACTCGCCAAAGGCGTTGTCGAGGGTGAAGCCGTTGACGTTGCCGCCCTTCATGGTGATGACTAATTGGGCGGAAGCACCGTACATGGTGAAGCCTGAGGCGACCATCTCGGTGCCGGGGAGGAGGAGCTCCTCTTTTGTGCCCTTTGCGCCTTCAGGGAGCTTGTACACGGCGAAGATGGTGCCGACGGAGACACCGGCGTCGAGGTTGGAGGAGCCGTCGATGGGGTCGCAGGCTACGGCATAACGCGCATTGGGGTATTCGTCAAAGATGATGGCTTCTTCTTGCTCCTCGGAAATGAGGAGGCGCACGCGACCTGACGAGCGCATGGCGCTGATGAAAAGCTCATCGCCAATCACGTCGAGCTTCTTCTGGTCATCGCCAGTTGTGTTGGATGTGCCTTGGAGACCAGTGAGCTGCTCAAGTCAGTTTGTGGTTGTGAGTGGCCTTTGAGGGAATTTGCGTACGTTGATTAATGACGCTCTCCGAATGTAGTAAGCAATGCTCTTGAAAGCAAACTGAAGCGCGTGACATAGCAGTCTGTAGCAAACCAGTTAGTTTTTCCGTGTCAAGATGCTCCGGAAAAATTAACGCACGTGAAATCTCCTGTTGCCTCCTTGACTTTTGTTTGCTCTTCAGTCAGGAACCGGGTGAGGGTAATGATGTTGGTGTTAATCTTCTCCTGAGCAACTGGATTGCTGTCGCCGTTTGTGGTGGAAGCCATTGTGAGCGTATCTGTATGTGTGCGGTAATATAATGCAGTTCACGATAGAGGATTGCTACAAGGGGGGTGTGGGTGAGGCGCAATGGAGAAGGGTTATGGACGGAGAAGGGAAGATGGGAATGATGGATGTGGGAGATGGAGAAGCTTGGGGGAGGATGGTAAAAATCTATGCGGTTCAATTGAAGCAAAAAGCGGAGCTGAGGTTTGTTATGAAGTCAGGGTGGGTAGAGTCGGACAGGCGGACCACACTTCTGTGGCATTTGTTTGGCAGATGCGTTGGCCGGAATGGAGCGAGCCAGCAAGCTATAGCCATCCCTCGGCAACTGATCGGGCGTCACAGGACACTTCACGATACTCCAGCCGCATGTGTTAGCCACGGGTGATCCGAAGGAAGACCGACGGTCGCGACAAATAGTGCCGACGGTGAATGGGTGAGGGTGTCTGGGCATTGCCGAGGAGAGGACATGGACGCGCTTTGTTGCGGGAGCGCGTGGTTGGAGGCGAAGATGCATGTGCGGAGACGTAAAAAAGTGGAGGGGCTGCAACGAGGGGTGAGCGGGGCGGGCTGGCTCCCCCACCACACACTGACGTCTTTCCGACCTGTTCCGACCCGCGGACGTGACGGCACACGACCACCCTGCCCTACCCGCACCCCTTCGTTTATCCGCGCACCCACGTGACCCCAGCAAAGAAATACCAAAAACAGAGCACCCCCCCCCCCATGTCAGCCCACGGCAAATGACATTGTCGTAACAAGGTAAGATCCAGCTTTTGATACTCTACATACAGTAAACCTACATCCGCAGTGATGAAAATGCTCAACTGAACAACCCTGCAAAGCCCACATCCCCAACCCGCACTCTATCCATTGCACCAAGGGGGGAATCCAGCAATGCAACCAACCATGATCCTGGCCTCTATTACAAGTCCAACGCACTCCTTTACTCGCTCTTCAGCTTATCTTGCTTGACCGTGAAGGCCATATCCAGCAGCGCCTTCTCCTCGTTCTTGTGTGATACCTTGAGTCCAGTCGCTACAGATGCGCTAGGGTTACGTCCAGCGTACATGACGTGTCTCCTGTTGTGGTGCTCCGTCTGGTTGAGCAGAGTCTCAATCCTGGGCTGTGTGAAGCTCCAAGCTCCTGCATTGAGCGGCTCCTCTTGGCACCAGATGATGTTCTGCGCATTGGGGTACGAATCGAGATTGTCCTTGAGCTGTTGCCATGGGAATGGGTTGAGCTGCTCGATGCGGGTAATCGCCACATCCTTCTCTCCACGAGCCTCACGCTCCTTGACAAGCGCCGCGTAAACCTGACCGGTGCAGAGAATAACACGGTTGATGCCCTCGTGTGATTCAATCTCTCCGCTAGCGTGTGCTGGGTCCTCGATGATCCACTGGAAGTGCGAGTCTCCAGTGAACTCATCAATGCTCGAGCGCGCAATTGGGTGGCGAAGGAGCGACTTGGAGAAGAACAGGACGAGCGGCTTGCGGAACTGGCGGTTCATCTGGCGACGGAGAAGATGGAACAAGTTGGATGGCTTCGTGGTGTAGGCAATCTGCATGTTGCAGTCCTGGTGCTGGCGATCAAGCTTCTCCGGCGATGGGAAAATGCGCGGGTCCTCATTGCACAGCTGCAGGTAACGCTCAATACGACCCGAGGAGTGCTCAGGACCTTGACCATCGTAACCGTGTGGCAAGCTCATAACGAGACCGGAACGCTGAAGCCACTTGACTTCACCTGATGCAATGAATTGATCGATGATGACCTGAGCAGTGTTGGCAAAGTCGCCAAACTGGGCCTCCCACATGACAAGTGCGTTGGGCGATGACAGTGAGTATCCGTATTCGAAACCGAGCCTGGAATGGGTTAGTCACCACGATACATCAAAACAAAATTTGTCATCACTTACACTCCGTATTCGCTGAGAGACGAGTTGGAAATGGTAAATGTTGCCTGGTCCTGGCTAAGGTTTTGCAGGGGTGTGTATGTCTTCTCTGTCTCCTGGTCGTGAAGAACAGCGTGGCGCTGAGAAAAGGTTCCACGCTCCACGTCTTGTCCGGAAACACGGACGTGGTGGCCCTCCATGCACAGACTTCCGAATGCCAACGCTTCGGCAGTAGCCATGTCGATGTTCTGACCATCCATGACCGTCTTGGTACGACCAGCCAAAATACGCTTCAAGTTCTTGTGTACGTTAAAGTCTTCTGGCGCCTCTCCGATCACCTTGGCAATGTGCTTCAACTGTGACTCTTCAATGGCAGTCGGCAAATGAGGCAACACCTCGGTAGCAAGCTCTTTCGGAGTCTTGAAGCCGTTCCATGCAGAGGTGAGCCACTCTCGAGAGTTGGGAACATAGTCCTTGCTGCGGTTGAAGCTCTCGTCTAGCATGCCCCAGACCCAAGCCTTGTGCTCATCAATGTCCTCCTTGGTGAAAGTCTTCTCCTCGAGGAGCTTCTTGGTGTAGATATCCAGTGTCTGAGGTTGTTGCGAGATCTTCTTGTACATGAGGGGCTGAGTGAAGAAAGGCTGATCCGTTTCGTTGTGACCCTGTTTCCTGTAGCAAACCATGTCGATGACGACGTCCTTCTTGAACTCGGCGCGGAAGTCGGCGGCGAGCTGGCAGACAAAGTTGACAGCCTCAACATCATCGCCGTTGACGTGGAAGACAGGCGCATCAATGGCCTTGGCAATATCGGAGCAGTAAGGAGTAGAGCGCGAAAACCTAGGATCCGTGGTGAAACCAATCTGGTTGTTTACAACAATGTGAATGGTTCCGCCAGTGTGGTAGCTGGGCAGCTGGTGGAAGCCCATAGTTTCGTAGACGACACCCTGCGCAGCAAAAGCAGCGTCACCGTGCAGAAGAACACCCATGGCGCTGACAGCCTCCTTCTCGTCGTTGTTGTAGTGCAGAATGGCGCGGGTCTTTCCAAGCACAACGGGGTCCTCGGCCTCAAGATGGGACGGGTTGGCGACAAGGGACAGCTGCACGCGCTTTCCAGACGGGGTGGGGCGCTCAAAGTTCATACCCAAGTGGTACTTGACATCGCCAGAGCCCTCTTCATTGGCCTCAGCGGTACCGGCAAATTCGCTGAAAATGGACTCGTTGGGTTTCCTGACAACATTGGAGAGCACGTTGAGACGTCCACGGTGGGGCATGCCAATGACGATATCCTTGACACCATAATCGACACTTCGGTCGATCAAGGCCTTCATGCCAGGAATCAAACTCTCACCACCTTCAAGACCGAATCGCTTGTCATTGGGGTATTTGGTGGCCAGGAAGGCCTCAAAGTTTGTGCCCCAGATGAGGCGGTCCAGGATGCGGCGCTTCTCGTCGACCGAGTACTTGAACGGTGTGGGGACCTCGATGCGCTCACGGAGCCAATCGCACTGCTCCCTGTCTGGGATGTGAATATATTCTATTCCGTAGGAGCCGCAGTACAGGCGCTCGCAGGCGTCGATGATCTCCTTAAGCTTCATCTTCTTGCGAGACTCTGTCCTGAAGCGGGGGAGGATACCCGGGCCGAGCTCAATTTCCTGCTCCAAATCCTTGTCGGTGAAGTTGTAGTGGGAAAGCTCGAGCTCGCGGGGCTTGTTGTAGCCAAAAGACTCAGCCTCTGAGCGAATGCCGAGCGGGTCAATCTTGGCCTTGTGGTGACCACGAGCCTGGTATGCGCGGACAAGCAATTGAACCTTGAGATGGTTCATAATGTCTGTGCCTTCAACATTGGCCATGCCCATGCCCGGTCTGGCCGTAGCACCCTGGGGCGAGCTCATGATGGTGGGCGGCGGCTGGAAGGCTTGCGACACGGGCATGTCGCCAGACTCCATGTTGTGGAAGTAGACCTGCCATGAGTAGTGAACACTCTCGGGGTCGTGTTTCCACTGCATGTACATGGCATCGATGTAGTTTGCCGTGTTGCCCTGGAGGAACGAGTCGTTGGGGTCCTATGCCGTCATCGTTAGCTGGGGTCGAAGAGTTTGTATCTGGGGCGTAAATGGGCACACACAACGCCCTTGCTGGTCTCCTCAGCCGAAACGGCATAGGGACGGCGGTGGGTAAGCGCAAGAGGACGGCGACATGTCGAAATGGCTGTTCTCGAGGGCTGTGCGAAGGTGGTGAAAGATGCTCTGGCTGGGGCGCTCCCCGGGAGCTTGCGAGAGCACTGGCGCAGGGTGTTGCGCAACATTGTGAATTAGGATGTCAGGGCGGAGGAAGGGATGCGTATCATCCAAGCAGACAGTGGTGTACAGAAGAGAGCTTCTGCGATGGCAGTGTGCCGTCCAAAAGTGAGCAAGCCTGATCATGGCACATGCGTAGGGCCCCGTGTTCCACACTAGCGCCCTGTGCGATCCAGGACGGTTCGGAACAGGCCTCGTCAAATGCCTCAAACACGAATCGTCCAGCCAATGTCTGGGACTTCTTGTCCGCGCCCGACTGCTGCCATGGCCTTGCGGCGTCTATGTTTACGCTGCCTCTTGCCTGCTGCCTGTCGTGCTGGCCATGGTAGCACAGAGGCACGAATGCACCTGGGAACTACACCCACTGTGCGGTGCCCGCCAATGACGACCAGTGTATTATTATGTAAGCGGGAAGCGCAGGCAGTGCCGGTGCTGAGGGTGTAACGGATATGTATCCGTTGCGCCACAATGTGCGTCAACGGGCTTGGCTTACACTATGCCGTGCCATGCCCTTCGCAATACTGCTCTTAGTAAAAGTAGTATGTATGTACATGCCGGCCGGGACAAGTCAGTGAGTACTGGGGTTACATATGTTGACAAAGAGAAAAGGCTATGTGTGTGTGTATGTCTCGTGACTTGGCTCTGTAAACTGCTCTCACTGTGTAGACACTGGACTAGACGAGTACCAGACAGACTACTACAAAACGCGTCCCAAAAGCAATCCATGGCGCAAGGGCAGGTGATGCGTGGTCACGTGCAGCGCGTCAATCTGGGGAACCCCAAACTAGTCTAGCATTCTTCTACCGCGTCAGACTTA